GGTGGTATGGCTGATATGCACGATCATGTTGTACACCTTGAGATGCAGTTGGAACAACTCACCCAAGGGGCCTAGTATGGCAGGTTACGGCAAAACCCTGCTATCATGGAGGCTTAGTTCAGTGCTTTAGAGGAGAAAGTGGAAGGGCATTGTGGCGCCTACGATACTCGGATGGGAAGGCTCGTGGATGACCTTAAGCCCTATACTGAAACCGTCAAGGCAAAGCTCATGACCCTAAAGGAAGACATGACACTTATCAAGAGGGCCTTGAGCAGCACTAGTCGCAGCCTGGACTCTCGAGCTGTGAGGGAGCCAGAGCCACGTATGTTCGAAAGACAACGGGACTCTAAGGTGTTGAAGAACTTCTTGTGGGACATGGAGCAATATTTCTATGGTATTCGTGCCCATGAAAAGGATAGAGTTGGCATCTATACAATGTACGTCACCAGAGATGGGGAACTCTGGTGGAGGATGAGGGTTGCACACTCTTCAAGGTCCAAGTTGAGCACTTGGGAGGCCTTGAAACAAGAACTAAAGGAGCAATTCTTGTCAAGCAATACGGCTTAGGTGGCTTGTGAGGCTTTAAGAAAGCTTCGTCATATGGGTTCAATGCTTATGTGAATAGGTACACATCGTTGATACTTGACATATGGGCAATGGTCGAGGATGATTGGTTGTTCAACTTTGCATCTGGGCTACGGGGTTGGGCCGAAGCCGAGTTGAGGAGGCAAGGCATGCGAGGCTTGCCTACTGCTATGGCGGCAACTGAGGGCCTAGTAGGCCTTGATCTTCGTGAGGCAGTGGAGGTAAACCATGAAGGTGGGCCATCGAGGGCGTTTGGCGAGAAGGTGGTGCACAAAAATAGAACTAGACTTGAGAAAGGGGTAGCCAAAGAGAAAGTGGCATCCCAGAAGGCCTTCTCGGGCTGTTTTATATGTGGAGGTAGTCATCGAGTGAGGGAATGCCCCGCAAAAACACACCCTCATTTTGGTTAACCTCGTGCAAGAGGACGAGGAGGCACCAGTGCAGTTCATAGCGGTTGATAAACACCATGCAACTGAGTTAGACCACGGCACAGGCTTGGGAAGAGGCTAGGTCATGCACGGACTCTAAGGAGTCAGTGATGACTCAAGTGCGGTAATCAAGAGAGGACCATCAGTGATGAAAGTGGGTCAGTGGGAGAAGTCCTCTGACTCAATGATGGACGAGGCATCTTCAGCTAATGGGAGGTGTGATAGGTTAAACCATCAATCTAGCCCTAGTTGTGCTAAGAAGAGAAGATTTGGTCACCAACACGCATATCACAGGCATTGGTTGACTTGCCATCAAGCTGGTGAGAGGTCATCCTCTTGATGTCGCAAAAGGCAACATGGGTCGTGGTGGCATCAACCGAACTAGCTATGCACCCGTGCACATGGTGTCAGCACTAGGACTAACCATCTGCATAAACGAGGGACTTAGTAGCAACAACGGACCTAACCAAGTAAATGAGCAAAAGACTTGGTAGCAGCAAAGGATCTGGCCAAGTGTGTGATGGGCTAAGCTGAGGCTTGGTCGAGTTAGCATGGGCGTTGTCTGAAGCTGTAGTTTTATGGGGACCCAGTGATGGACAAGCATACGATAAGGATGTTGGAGTACAAGAGGGGGAAGCTTGTCAAACCCCTTTTCCCTAAGCCCCATGTGGTGCATGCAGCTGGTGCTCGATGTGCAGCCAACCTTGTGCATGCAATGAAGCCAGCCTTGCACATGGCATAGGCAGCTTGGTGCGTATGTTGTAGCTAGATGTGCAGTCGGTGCGTAGAGCAGGTTGACTAGTAGCATGATGCACATGGTGCAAGCCAAGTGGTACGTGAAGTAGCTTGATGGCTAAGGGTCGAGCAACCCCTTGGGGCATCATGCAACACATAAGCCACTTTGGTAGAACGGAGCTACAACTCATGAAGGTCATGTTCTCTATGCTTACAATCATAGTTGAGAAGAGTGTATGACCCTCTCCCTTGACCTGCATGAGAGGCAATGGTGTTCAACACTAAGAACATGGTGCATACACATACAGTTGGCGGCTAAATACATTTGGTGGGAAGCCTTGGGTAGAGGACAATGAGGGTTGGTGGCTAAGAGGTGGCACAACCTAACCAGACATGGTCAAGGGGGCCATGTGCAAGAGGCGCGACACACTTGGCTAGGCAGGTGTGCCAGATGGCTATATGGGTTCAAAATGTGTAACTTCTCAAGCATGGGCCTATGTAATGACCATAAGCCTTAATGCATGAGTGGTAGTGCAAGTGTATGAGTGGACCTTTGTAGCCGTCACATGCAAATGCATAGCTAGTCAATTCTTAGAATAATGGGATGACTAGGCATAACTAACCCCTCCACTCAGGGGCCTAAGGGCATGGATTGAGGGAGTGGAGAAGGTGGACGTAAAGGCTACCATGAGTGGTAGGCAGTTACACCTTGCTGGCACATAACATGGGATATGGGTGATCAATGTGTAGCTGACCCAAGTGGTGGGCGACCAGGTGGCCGACCTAGAGTGCGGGGTGACCAAGTGGGCTCCACGCAACCAGTCATGATGGTGGCATGACCATTACATGCAGTGAGCCATTTGAAATTTGAATGCAACTGTGGGGGCTATAATTATCCCTTGCCCGACCCAAAGTGAGAGGATCGTGGTTGTGTACATATTACAATTGTATAATGGAACCCGTTGGGCTGAAGCCATTGGCTATTGGTGCTTTTGTATGTGTCCTTGTGTGCGTAATTGACACTTAACTCTTTCTTTTGAGTAGATGGGAAGGCTGGCTTAACCTTAGTCGAGCAAGGACTGAGGCTTGGCACCGCATGTGGGTGAAACAAGAGTTACTCCCATGAAACTTGGCTTGTAGGCTTCCTTTTAGATTTTAATTAAATTTTCAGATCTTTGCATTATTTTGTCCTATATCATGCATGAAACGCGTTAAAGAAGGTAAGGACCTTTCAGGACATGAACTTAGTTGGATCGCAACTTCACCACTAGTTTTGCCAATGAAGCGTTAGCCATGTAAGGACAGGTCCCTCTTTTAACCCTCTTAAAAGTTTTAAACACGCTCCACTCAGCACGGATATGTTTGCCAGATGTAGTGTCCACCAACGCATCTCTCGTGTTCCCTACCATGGTTACCCGAAGACAACGGGAACATACTTCTCTACAACCATGTTCGCTTGCACTAATTGCTCCTGAAGGCTACAGCTTCTGAGCATGACCCGATCAAATAGCAAAAAACTTGCCTCGTTCATTTGTCTTTGGTTCCTTTGTTAGCTTTCTCAATATTCCTCTCTACTTTCTTCTCTTCCATCTCCGAACGGTTACTTGATGACGCCTTGGCTTCTTCTTAGGGCATTCGACCAACCATCTGTGATCTCTTCACTGCAGAGTCGAGTCGAGTCTCTTCTTTGATGTGAATATGGGTTACAAGCTCCTCCAGTGTCAATGTGCCTGTAACACGCCAAAGAGCCTACACTGGTACCTTTGAAAGATTTTCTTCAAGCCATGAAATGAGCATCATTGCGGTTTTACTGCTCATTATTCTTCTGTGGAACCGATTAATCACAAAAGAACATAAGAAACCTTGTAAAAGTACAGTTAAGTAGAAGGTGGCCATGATTATCTTTGGCATTCTTACATCTACTTGTGAGTGGAAGGCCATATATATGGCATCTATATATGGTCTGCAATGAGCTTGGTCTGCAATGAGCTTTGTAAGGCTAGCCAAGTGTACCAAGCCGTTCGCATATGAATAAGTTCCTTCCATATAACTTGAAACAGTCTTCTCTCTGCATATGTAAAACGAGGTAGCTTATATGGCCATCACCAGTTCATTATCTTTGTTTGAGAGAACACTTTTCTAAAGAGAAGTAACCTTCTCCATCTTTTTTCCAAAAAAAGAAAGAACAGGGAGTTTCGCTTAATTTTATCGAGAATTAAAATTTTTACATTACATGTTTGACATAATAGAAGAAGTTTATAGAAAAATAACTTAAAAAAGAATTCTAAAATCAATTGGGAAAAAATGACAGTTGTTTTGTGTGTGTGTGTGTGTGTGTTATATTTATTGACACTAGCCCATATGATCAAGGTAATCACATCATAATAAGACTCATCAGATAATGGATCCCATTAAAACATGTCAATCAGATCACTTTCTCTCTGCCATCAAACCCATTGGTTCCATGGTGATAATCCCATGAACTGATTGCACCAAGATCATAGAAATTCTTCTCTTTAGTTATCTGATTTTTATATATGTATATTGTTTTTCCACTGGTTATTTGCTGAGAGCTACTGCAGGAAGTACAAATAATTGAAATTGAATTATCATAGAAAGAAACACTCAAGTATGAGATTGAGATATGTTAGTTATGGTTTCAAAAGCCTTAAAGAGCACCGGATCTCAATGTAAGTACACATGGGGCCACTGGGTCTCAATGTAAGGACACATGTCAGTGGGTTTAGAATTGCCAAGATCTAAAATCAGATTAAACTTAGTCTCCGTTCTGATAAAAATTTTACTTCTTGGACATACTAAGAGCTGCTTGCTTAGAGAAACTTCATTTCACAGTCAATTGACTAGGGTGCTAGGAATAGGTTTTGAGATGAAGAGTTCAGTCTGACCTGTAATCAGTGTTCACAAAAACTGGAATTGCCCTCCGACTTGCTACTGATGAACTGAGATGGATCAGCAACTCCAATCTGGCTCGCAGCATTCGAGTCGCATAACAAAAAACAACTCCCAACAATAAAAAAATAAAAATAGAAAAACTGGGAGAATAGGGGCGATTCATGGGAACTGACTCGTGCATTTCGAGTCCAATCAGCGATTTTTTAAAACACAACATGCAACTGAGATGATACAAAAACTTGCCATGGAGTTATAATTTGAAAGTTCCTGATGGATTTCAAGTCTTCAAAGTTTTCAAGGAGAACTAAAATATTTCTGATAACATCTACTACATGGATATAAACAATAAAAGTTGTCACCCTTTTATTGAAGTTTCATATTTTAACTCCCACATTCTTGGAAATGCTGACAAGACAATGTGGCAAATGGAAAATTATCAATATCACATAATGGAAAGTCGAAGACTTGATCACCAGTCCTGAGTAACATAAGATATCTAAGTATTTGACTCAGGATAGGGAAAGCAAAAATAAAAATTCTAAACTATTCAATTTATCATATATATATCCATATGTGCTCCTCTTAAGTAACATAGTGAAGTGACATGCCTTAGTTGTAAACAGTGGCCCTTGTTACAAGCTTCTAGCTAGGTGATTAGTTCAACAACCAGAATTGAACTGTGCCTAATGATTCATGACAAGAAAAATGATCAAATGCTGATCAGAAAGAATTTGAGTTACAAGGCTGATAAGTCCTACCAGTTTGATTTCTCAGAATTATCTAAAACACAAGGTAGCCAAGATTTACATAGGAATACACAAGAGACGCATCGAAGGTATCCACAGTGATCAGGAAAAAGATAAAAAAAAGTTCAGGATAAGATGATTTACATACACGACCATAGAATTCAGGGTTGTAAAAGCTCGATATGATGATATCTTCACAAAGAGAGCCCAATAAATTCCTGAAGAAACCAAATCATGGGGCCACAACGGCAACATGCAAAGTTCTTCTTGGCCTCAAAAAGTTACAAAACAATTACTGTCACATGAGGCCCTAACAAATCTCTTTTACATGACTAAACTGTTTTAGAATCAGGGGATGCTTTTGGAAAGCATTTGCATTTCAATTGCTTCTCTGAGAGTTCCTGCCATGGTAGGTACTTTGATCAAGAAAATAGTCCGCCAAATACAAGTTATATGAATGCACTGAACAAATATTTGTCTAAAGAAATCTAACTGCCTCTGTTTCTAAGGGATTACCTGAACCTGCTTTTGGAGGGACTTGACATATTCAATGGCCTCTTCCAACATGTCCGCAGTATTAGTTTGCTGTAAGGAACAGAAATAATTATGTGTTATCTCTAAACCATTGAATCTGAAGTCTAAAAGTACTTATTTCAGCCCTAGAAACTGTAATCAAAATCTTGGGCTTATAGTATAAGATGAGCAATTATGTACCCTGAACCAAGACCACAAGAACCCAAAATGCCTAACTAAAATCCAAATCAATGGAATAAATTTTTTTGATACATATGAAGTTGATGGACATGGTTCTAACCAATTTGCAAATTCATCATATACCATTGCTTTCAATAGCCCAACTCTTACACTGTGAGTGCAGTGCCGCATTCTATATACTAAATAGCACAATAGGAAAGAAAAAACTTCATGAGCTCTTTTTTTTCCCTGTTGTAAAATTTGCCTTAATAGAGGCACTGGCAAACACAGCCGCATTGACTACCAACACCAACATGATGAAAATATAGTAAAAAAAATGCATTTTAAGATCTCTCAAACAAAGCCTAGAAGAAACTCAAAAAATAGGAAAAGGATATTGTTTTTTATAGAATTGCATTTGCCTCATCGATAAAACAATTGCATTTGTGTCATTGATAGAAAATGAACTAAACCTTATCCATATTCGGGACAAGTTCTTGAAGCTTCTGAATCCTGTCACTGATACGAGTTCTCCGAACCTGACGCAGAGCACAAATACAACTTAGCACGTTTATAGCTACTTATTCCAAAGTGTGAAGAGTATCCTCAAGAATGAGAACATATATAAGTTGTGACCATGACGCTCACTCTCTCTGCAATACTTCGAGGGTGGGTTGCAAAGCCACGCTTTGCACGCACCCTAAAAGTAACAGTGTCTTCCGTGACCTTTTCCATGTCCAAATCCGAACTAATAGACCTCGATAACTGGTGCTGTTTTTCCAAATCTGCACTGATAGACCTCAACAAACGATTCTGGTTTTCTCCTCCTTTCTATAAAGAAAAAGTAGAACATATTCAGTAAATTGTCCACATTCAAATAAATCATTCATATTCGGTACAAGGGAAATTCAAAGCTTGGGCTTGATTGGTCATGGTGTTGATGATCACATCACTAGCTCTCAAGTTTGAACCCCAAAGCTGAAAACAAAAACAAAAAAAAAAATTTGCTCCTCCATTCTTCATACCATGAAAGCAAATTTTACAAGTTTACTCGCAAAGAGAGCATAATCCATTTTATAAGTTAACTCGCAAAGAAATCATTCAAATTCTTCATAAGTTTACTCACAAAGAGATCATTAATCAGTTCTATAGAGAGAAATATATCCAACTGCTTCCCCTCTTCACATACAGAGAACCAAAATTTATTTTACCCGAAGATAAATCATTTCAAATTCAGTGACCTCAGATGGAATAGTTCCATACCCATTGGGGTGGAAGGTTTGGCCTTGGCATCGAGCCCATCGACTGACCATCTGTTTCTATGATCCTCTTCTGCAAAGGAAAGTCTGAGAACGCAAGATCAGGTTGTATATTATTGAAATTCTTCCCAGAAGCCCCAGGGTTCAAGCCTGAGAAATAATCCCCAGGACCCATTGAACCAGTGAGCTGAGTGAAAAGCTCGGCAGGAGAACTGTTCTGCCTCTGAACGTTCGCGCTCGGTCCACTACCATGTACAAGCTCTGCGTAATCTTGAAGAATTCCATCCATGGCTGCAAGGCTTCTTGGTGAACCTTGAACCAGTTTTTCTAAGCTCTGAACATCTGGTTCTTCGACCAAGCTCTCTAGAAACGAGCATGGAGCTGAAGAGAAACGGGTCAGGCCTCTAGGCCCATTTGGGTCACCTCCAACTCTGTTTCTCGCTTCAATATTGAGAGATGGGAAGAAGAAACTTGAATTTGAGGGATCAATGGACATGGGCGGTTCTTCCTTTACTGATTGGCGTTGCAACATCTGCCTCAGCATCAATTTCTGAGTGTAAATCTTTATTCCCTGTTGTGTTTGTTGAAGACCAAGTTCATTGATTGGTGATCTAAACCAAACCCCCAGATATTTGAATCGGAATAGCCCAAATTTTTAGAGAGAGAAACTGAAGAGCTACCATTTCTTATCAAACGATGAGAGAGAGTGGGAATTGAAGAGGTTCACAGGAAGAATTGTAGACGGAGAACAGTGTGGTAGTATAATGGTGGGTTTTATCACTCCTGGTCTGCAACATAAGAGTATGGCTTGGTCAGGACCGCTCATTTGCTCTCTCTCTCTCTCTCTCTCTTTCTTTCTCTCCCATCCTTCTTTTTGCCTCTCTCTTTATCTTTAACTCTGGAAGGTTCAGTGCCCAGGGATTTTGGAGCGGGTTAAGAAAGCGACAGCATCTCTCTTGACAAATGACCAAAATGCTGCACTTCTGTACTAAAATAACGAACTTGTCCTGTATCTGATTAAGGATAAATTACAAAATCGCCCCTTCAAAAAGGAGGCTTTTTAACGCAACCTGCCCTAAGTCCAGTTTTTTTTTTAACTTTTATCTCAAATTGATTTTTTATTCTTTTTTAACAAATACCTACAAGTCAAAATTTTTATTTTTATTTTTTTTTATGGAAATATCCATAGTATCGGACTGCCCCTATTTTGTGCCAGATCGCATGTCCGAAGTAAAGACCGCCTCTATTTTGTGTCAGACCGCATGTTTTTCAGAAGCTCAAAATGCCGCACTAACCTTATTTTGTGCCGAACTGCATGCCCAAAACACTGGACCGTCCCTATTTTGTACCAAACCGCATGCTTTCTAGAAGCGAAATGTTGGACCGCCCCTATTTTATGTTGTACCGCATGTTTTCCTTAGGGTATTTTGGCCTTCATTTTTATTTTTATTTTTTACGTGGGGGTATTTGTTAAAAAGTTAAATTTGAGATAAAATTTGTTAAAAAATTGGTTAGGAGGAAAGTATGATTTTGAGAGATCTTTGTAATTTTCCCTTAATGGAATCGTCCCTTGGATATGTCTGTTGCCAAAATTTAAGGCCCAGGCCCAATCTCAAGCCCAAAAAACTAATTCCTTGTAAAGCGCATAATTTTTTATGGCAATACTAGAGATTTGGTAAACAAGAATCTAGTTTTCTTTGATTTGATGAAGAAAGCCTAATTTTTCTTTTTGTGGGTTTACAAAATCATATGAGCCTCCTTTCCTAAGAAATTAGAATGACAATGGGCTTTTGAGCATGGTGGAGCAAAGGAAGAGCCCATGGAGGATGGACCTAACGATTGAAAGGTAAGTGAACAGTAAAGTTTGGGTGGATTGCTTGGAGTTTGCTGCTTTTTGGGCTTAACTTGGTTAGGAATCACTATCACTTTGTACTTCTATTTTGGCAAAGCCTCAAACATGGGATCCTCGGCCCGATGGGCCTCACAATCGGATCTTTATTCTTATGTCAATTTGATGCACACTATGTCCATTTGGGGCCGGGGCTATTAATTGGTCGGGGCCGGTTTGTGTCGAAGCCTACCCAGGCCTTATTGGATTTGCCCAAAATGGCTGCCCCAAACCCAAACTTAACCCTCTAGGCTAACTTAGTGCGTTCCGGACCATGGATGGGTGACCTGATTGATATGGGAGGGATGGAGCTTTAAAGGACTCGTGGTTCACAATTGAAACCTAATTTCTTGATGAACCCATCACCACAACTCAAACCTTGTTTCTTGATTTGATTCATCATCGTCGTTATACGAGCTTTATCCCAACTATTTGGGTTCAACTACATTAATCATGTTCTATCACTCCGTTCTATCAAAGGTCATACCCTCAGATATAGGGTTAGGATTCATGTAAAGATGTAACAAAAGTTTCATGTTGCTACCAACATAACACAACTCTCCTCCTTTCTCATTTAAGCTTGGGACTGGCGGCGGCGGAGTTTGTGCCTCAATCTATTGAACTTGCTTAAATGTGGGTCTAAACTAAGATCTAGTAATCAACGCATCTATCAAAATTTTTTCACACACTTGGCCTCAGCCTACCCCAAAGGGCTTTTTAGCCAACGAAGGTTCCAATAACTTAGTTTTTCATCTGTACTTTAGCTCACTGTGTTTCCCGTTACTTTGTACTTTAGCTCACTGTGTTTCCCTTTACTCTTTCTTTTATTCTTTTGCCAAAATTTTTACTTCAGCTTGCCTTTCTTTATAAGTGTGACTTCAACAATTAAGTTAGAAGGTATTTCATAAAATCGTAGCTGCATTCAACCGCATAAAAAATTATTTACAAAAATAATTAAGGGCCAGTTTGGATGTCAAATAAAAAAACCTTCACATTAAAAAAAATTGTAATTTTTTTCAACTTTATTAATAAATATTATCATTTTTTTATTTGTTGGGGGCTGTTTGGATAGAATGAACATATTAAAATAAGTTTCGCGAAGGGACAGGGCGCTGAAGCAGGGGTTGGGGGGGAGGCATATTTGCACTCCTCTCACAATAACATATGCTCTCTCTTCATACAAGTCCTACTAGCTCCATTTAAGAGAGAGAGAGAGAAAATGGTTGCCTCACTGGAAGCTGGTGCTGTAGTTACGCACGCAGCCAAGCATGGTGGTGGAGTAGAAATGAGTTGCAACTGACATCTAGAGAGAGAAAATTGCACCATGGCCAAAGCCCAAACCCTAGTTTCTGCAACTCTTCTTCCTCATCCATTTTCTTCCATTTCGGACCATACAATTCTTCTTTCTCAAGCCATTTTCTTCCATTTTTGCAACTCTTCTTCATCTATTTTTGCAATTGAAGTCAGGCTTAGAATAAAAAAAAAGGAACGCCGGTTCAAGGATTTGGGGTTTTTTTACAAAGATTGATGGTTTTTTACAAAGATGGAATTTGGGCGTTTTTACAACCAAGGTGGATGTTTTTTTTACAGAGATGAGATTTGGGGTTTTCGGTTCTTTCAGTGTTGAAGCTTGGAGCAAAAGATGGATGTTTTTTAACAGAGATGGGATTTGGGGTTTTTGGCTCTTTCGGTGTTGAAGCTTGGAGCAAAAGACAGATGGCTTTGACAAAAGATGGGATTTGTGGTGATTGGTTTTTGGTGACTCAAGTTTAGAGAGAGAAAGTAGAGAGATGGGGTTTGGGTTTTTGGGCATTTCTGTTGTTCATGAACTGGTGAGAGACGGCCCATCTGAAAAAATTCAAGTCTGACTTGAATTTTTTTTTATTATAACTTTTTTTTTTGAAATTAAAGGATTTTTTATTTCAATATAAAAATATTGTAAGTTTAGGTGGTTGTCTAAATGGGTCAAATCTATTTCACAATATTTTTGGATTCAATTTTGAGTACATCCAAACTGGCGTTAAGGTATTTCATAAAATCGAGGCTGCATTCAACCACATCAAACAAATATTCACAAAAATAATTAAATCCATTGTCAAAATATTCCTACAACTTCATTGTCTCCAACCTCATTGCAATACATTTTCTCAACGGTTCATTCTAAAGGTTTCCTAAAACCTCCAGATCTTCTCCAAATCTTCCTAGAACCTCCTAATCTCCAACTCGAGCTCCAAATTTCAAGCAAAGGAGAAAATGATTTTGAATGGTATTTTCCGAAGATATATCTAAGTTTTTTTCTAACTGATATTTTATAAAAAGGAGCAGTTGGCATATAGATGCATCCGTAGCTGTAGAGGTAAGGTGCACATTCAAATTTTATCATGGTATATAATTTTGATGTAAAATGTTCTTAGGATTATCTCAAAATCTATTTTTATATCTAACTATAAAATTTTAAATCTAAAAAATAGTTAAAATCAAGTAGATCTATAAATATATGAAAATCTTGAAAATGGACAATGTAGATAATATGCTGTAAAATGCACTATTTCTGAGATTTAAAATCTTTTTATTTTTCGTGGTCAGACATCTCGATGTCGAGATTATCAAAGGGTTTTTCAACATAAAAACTACTTTTCTGATGGATTTTTGAGGTGCATCTCTAGTTCTACATTATTAGGTTGCATCCTTATGTAAACTTTTTCCTTTATAAAAAACCTCGCACAAGCGAAGGAAAACTATGGGATGCATTCTGTGTGTTAAGTGAATTTCAGGGAACAGCAAGGGCATGGTGGTGATTTCATAAAAGGATGCTGCCTTTCTACAATTGGAGAAGGGTAACTCGGCATTTCTGGACTGATGGAAGGGCATATTAGGAAGAAAATACATTACTTTTCCACATTATCAGGCGTGGGAATTGCAGCGTGATAGGAGCCAAAAGAAATTGGAAAGCTGCCTCCGTTGGCGTTGACTTGTCATTGCCCCGCCAAACTTGTCTTTTTATCTCGGCTCGGCTCAAAGCTAGCGCGCACTAATTTGCCCTTTTAACTAGAAAAATAATAACAAAGAAGTAATAGGAACCGCCATTACCTCGTAATAGGTCTTTTTTTCTCTTGAGAAAATTACAAAATACACTTTAAAATGAACTATCTATATAATTTTTTCTCACACTTTTTTCCCCCAAACAATATTTTCTCACAAAACCCCCCAAGGTAAAAAGTTTTTAATTTTTGGAAGGAAATAGCCTTCCCGTACAAACAAAATCAATTCGCGATCCGAAGTACAGTACTGTCGGAGTGGAATGTTGAGAAGCACTGCCAGAGCAACGGTGCTACATTGACGAAGTGCTATGGCTCCAGATACTTCATTGCTGGAGCAAACTGCCGGAAAGCATATTTTTCAGTGCCAGAGCGCATTCTTAGACTGCCGAAGCGCTGTGGGTCAGACAAACGACTACCGGAGCACACACTGGTACTGCCGGAGAGCCCATTCAGAATGCCGAAGCACAGTCCTCCATTGCCGTAGCGCTGTGGCTACAGAGGCTTCATTACAGGATCGGACTGCCGGAGCACAGTTCTCAGTATGCCAGAGCGCAGCGGATCAAACAAAGCATTGTCGAAGCACACATTGTTACTGCTGGAGAGTGCATTCAAATTGCCAAAGTGCACTTCTCCATTGCCGGAACGGTGTGGCTCTAGACGCTTCATTGCAGGAGCGTGTAGTAGCACTGCCAGAGCGCGTTATCGGTACATGGGGAAGACATCAGTGCCAGAGCGTACATTGTGACTGCCCAAGCGAGTGTCTTTACTTTCGGAGCGCAATTCTCCATTGCCGAAGCATTGTGGCTCCAGAGGCTTCGTTGTCGGAGCGCACTACCGGAGCGTGTAGTTTCACTGCCGGGGCGTGCTATCATAATGCCGGAGTGCTCTGGGTCTGTCAAAGCACTGCCGAAGTGTACATTGGTACTGCCGGAGCGAGTGTCTTTACTGCCAGAGAGAGTGTC